AGCAGATGGATTACATAAAAAGTTCTTTTTAGCAGGCAGAAATGTAAGGATATTCATACAAACTGTTCTAAAATAGAATTGGTAAGTCTGGTCTGTTTTATTACCGGCTTTGCAGGACAAATTTGTGCTCTAGCACTTTAATATATGCAGAATTTTAACAGGAAATCTGGATATAAATTCATTGCCTTGTTTATAGAGTAACGACTAGTTATTTAGTTGTGGAAACTTATTTTTTCCCTTTCTGCAGGAAAAATGATCTCTGTGTTCAGAGCACTGCAATTTTCTCAGCAGAGGTTGTATGAAAAGTCATATGGCCTTTTCATCAAGTGCCGCAGAAGAGAAACGGCCTCTCCAAAAAGCCATATCCTGCTGTGAGCAGATGGAGGCTTTTTGCTACAAGAAGAGAGAAAAAGTCAAACCACTGGGCCTTGCAAATATTTTTCACAACAGAGTAGGAATTTTGGAAAAATTGATAACAGGTGATTGGAAATAGATGATAGCTAGCCATACTATGTATCTGCTTGGTAGCAAACAATCTACCTGCTGCTAAACTGCTGTAAATTTGCTAAAATTCACCATAAACTTCTTATTAATCTATATGCCACAGCTGTAGTTCAAAGAGTATACCAATGTGATGGGTGAGTGAAAGCCTCAGTATATGTGTTTTACATGGCCTAGTTATTGCTCTTATGTGTTTCTAAATTTACTGTTACATTCTACTAAATTTGTTCTACATTGTGTACTATTTGGGGGTGCTTGAATAGGAGTACTGTCATGCTCAGTACTAAATATTTAACATTGACGTGAAGGAATTTCTGAAAATTTAGATCCATTTATATAGGACTTTGGTTACTGAGCAGCTTGGCTGAAGTCTACTAGCAGGGGATTGGACCAGGTGACCTCCAAAGTCCCTTTCAACTCTGTTTCCTGTTTCTTAATTTGACTCTATAAATCAGAAGAAAACTGAACATCCAGGAAAAGAAATTGGAGGGGGGGGAATTAGAGAATCAGGTTTGCACAGTTGTAGCTCTCATTCCTGTCATTTCTGCCCCCTACGTATAAATTTGGCTCTACTTCTGTGTTCAGTAGAAATCTGTCTTTTAAAAAAAAAGTTTTTGAAAAAAAAGTCTGTTTGTTAAAGGGGGGGAACTGCCTGCTGCAGTGCTGTTCAAAGCAATGTGCAAAATTGAATACATGCAAAGCAAAATAGAAATGATCTGCTTCTTGACCCTAATCTTGAAAGACATCAGAAACTCCATAGCTAACCCATTTTCTACTTTCCTTTTGCTCTGCGGTTACCTGGGATGTTTGCAGTGCAGCCAGATCAAACAGCTGATCAAGCTTTTTCACAGCTTGGCCTCTGTACACTTGACCTATTGAGAGCAAAGCAGAGGCCCAATGCTACTTCTACTGGCTGGATTAACCAACATGACTCAAGACTTCAGCACTCAGCGAAGGGAAAAAGATCCAGTGGGGATTCCAATTCTACTTTAGTTGAAGTTTTTGATCAATTGAGTTTATTGTTTTAACCTTAGACATGGTTGTTTGGACTGTGGAAGTGTTGTTTTAGTTTTGTACCGTATAATTGTCAGAATCACTGCTGTGGGATGGGTAGCCAAATAAACAAACAAACAAACTTAGAATTGTGTACTTTGTAGCTACTATACAATTTGCTTCTTCAAGCAAATGGCACAAGAGTTTTAATAAACTTTGAAAAGAGACCCAGGGTTGTAACTCATAGTGCTACTTCAAATCTGTTCTGTCCCCCGTCCGACCCACACCCCCCAACCAGTCAGCCGAGGCCTGACAAACTCCTCGGCACAGACAAAGGCAACGGAATGTCTTGGCAGCCACTTCGTAGCTGCCTGCCAAGTCTTCAATGATAAAACACAGCAAACAAAGATAAGCCACGAGAACTTGCCAGAATGCTTGCACCCGAGTGTTCATCAAACTTTGTCCGTCACGAAAATTCACATGCCACACCCCTTGCTTATATAGCCAGTGGGGTGTGGCCCAGTGACTCAGCGGAATTGTCTGGCCCGACGTGTCTGCTGCTGCGCACGCCTATCTCTTCGACGCTGG